CAACGGATGTCTTTTTTGATACCTTTTAAGTGGCAGATCTTTGGCTAGGTTGCTTTTGTTGCAGTTGGGTGTTGCCACGCATAATCATGCTAAGCCTGTAACATTCGACGCAATTGCGGCAGCCAATCATGAAGGTAAAACCGGTTTCCACATAAGCCGTTCAGTCGCATATTATTCTGGGATGGGTGTCGCCAGTAGATGGGGCAATTGGCGCGTGTGGGACGTGAAGTGATGTTCCACACTGTTTCCGTTCAATGCTTACAAGTGTCGTTGTCTGGTAACCTAACTTCGCCGTCTAAATATGGCCAGGTTTGGCATGTAAGATTGCGATTCTCAAGTCCTCTCAAGTATCTTTAATTTAGTAGCAGAGGACACTACCGGCACCTGATTTAAACGGCAGACGTTACATCGGAGCCTTTCATCACAGAATTCGAAGTGCCAAAGCCAAACTTCAGTATGTCTCTCGAGTAACTTATTTGCACTGCCATTTCTGACACCATTCATTACGGCTGGCTCAGCTGTCATCACGTATCAGTCGTAATCAGTCCGAAGCGGGCTTCCCATCAAAGTTAAGTGGGTTGGCCTGGCTAGCTGATAGAACAAGTTGCAGGGGCTCGGCTGTACGTTCGAGGTCAGTTTTAACCGCGTGTGCCCACTCATTTAATTGACCACCTCGAGGTCGTCGTCAGGCTAGGATGACGTTTTAGAGGGTCTCAGTATTCGATTGGTACAGCAACTACCCATCACAGTCGTCGTGTAAAGAGGGCGCAGGTAATTAGCTCTATTTGTAAGTGGCCTGCAGTTCTTATTTGGAGACGCAGACAAATTCGCTTGGAGAGTGGGATGTGAGGGCCACCCGTCATACTCTGCCAGTCGATAGGCATCTTTTGTGGTTGTGTTGCGTATCCGTGCGTTGTGATTGTCTTGCACCCTGAAAGCCTGGTGTTCAGATTGTCGCACACTGCTTTTAGAGACTTCAACAAAAGCGCATGAATGCTGCGCGTGAGCATTTAGTCCGACGGTCGATTTCATCCTGGCAGAAGGCTCGACCAAAGGCAGCAAGGGCCTCTTTCTGCCGTAGCTGGTTTGGAAGAATCAATCTCCAAGCTAACTTTTGCCGCCTTGACGCTTCCGTGGAACTTGGCACATTGCATTCCTGCGGAGGAGCTCTGTAGCACTGCGATATCGCCAGAGCATTTAGGCTGCCTAATATGCGAGCTATTGCCTATGGTAAAAATAAAGTGGTCCAACAACACGCACTTAAAAGCCCCTTTCAATCGGATTGTTTAGCGAGACTACCGAGAGAGTGTAGGCACTGTGCATGCTAGGGATATGATCGAAAAAGCTATTCCTCGCCAATCATACGAACTCTGATCTCTGTTCTGCGGTTTCAAGCTTACGTAAGCCATGTAGCTTTAACAGAAGACCATCATAAAGCCAGTTGAGCTATATGAGATCTCGATGGTGTCAAAAGCTAATGCTAATTTCATGGACTGTATTTACGTGTACTTAGTACGGCTGCGATCTTGTCTGATCTAGCCGGCCTCTATGATGTCCCTAGCTGTACGTTTCCGTACGTGACGATTCGCGGCAGCGGATCTGGACAGTTCAACGCA